CGAAAGGACATTGTCAACGCAAATATCGATACAAATAGCAGAGTGTCATCACAAATGTTGGCACAACACTCCCAATTGTCCTCGTTAAAAACGCAGTTGGAAGAGCAGTTCGCAGCGCAAGATGCACGTATATCAGCACAGGTGATCTCACAACTAGCAGAAGCGTCCACAGACACAGATGTGTTTTGATAGTCATGGACTATTTCAGCAAACGGCCAGAGGCATACGCAATTCCTAGCCAAGAGGCAGGAACAATGGCGGATGTATTCATCAACAATTGGGTATCGAGATATGGTGTTCCAATAGAATTACATTCTGATCAAGAGAGAAATTTTGAATCAGCTCTAATTCAGGAGATATGCCAGAAACTGGGTATCCGGAAAAGGCGTCATACATCGCAGTCCGATGGCATGGTAAAACGATTCAATCGATCTTTGGAAGAACATTTGAGGAAAGTTTTGGACAAGTCTCAAAACGATTGGGATACCATATATTCTTGTTCCTGATGGCTTATCGGTCTGCTGTACATGAAACAACGGGCAGACTCCAGCAAGGATAATTTTTGGAAAGAAGAATTCAATAGCATATTAGAAGACGAGATGAGGGATATTCATGCGATGGTGAGACTGCGCACTAAAATTATGAGCGATAAGATGAAAGCAAAATACGACAAGGCAATAAATTCTGAGGGTTTTACTGAAGGCGATTGGTATTGTTACATAACCCACAACAAAGAAAGGGTTATCTCCCAAATTACAGTGTAATTGGGAAGGACCATACCAGGTTATTAAACGACTGAATGATGTAGTGTATCGCATATAGACCATTGGAAGATCAAGGAATAAAATGAAGGTGGTTCACCTGGAACGGCTTGCAGCGTTTGGTACCGCAAATATGTCTAATCAGGACGATCAGACTTAGGTAGAGAACAGTGTGGCGAACACGAATACCAGAACAAATCAGGATCGACGATAAACTGCCAGAAGCAACTAGAAGTTCTAGTAGCGAACTTTTGTTAAAATTTACTATATAAGGGCTGCCGGATTGTGCAGCAGCACAGTTCTAATTAGAGTGTTGCCATGTAAAAAACAATTAAGCTATAAGCAATAAGTTGTAATCGAATATCGAGCAATAAGTGTTAAGTGTTGGAATAAGAAAAGTGTATAGCCATTATTGGGATTTAATTTAACAAACTAGTGATCGACTCAAAAG